GTCTTCTGCATGTCTAGTGGACTTGCAGTGCTACTTTAAGGGTTGTCTATTGACTTGACTCACTTAGATGTGTGTTCTATCCTGAAGTGTTGTGTCGGTACAGGGCACAATATCTGTGCCGGAGATGTTCGCCATGTGTCTTTGCACACACATCATCACACACTACGCACACACACGTTTCCTGTGCACAGGAAAAGAGCGCCTCTGTGTGTGTGTGTGTGTGTGTGTGTGTGTGTGTGTGTGTGTGTGCATAGGGGGAAGGCGACCCCCCCCCCAATCAATCAACCGATCGACCTTTTTTGCATTTTATTTCTTTTTCTTTTTTCAAGTTTTTTGTTGTTTTTGGCGATCAATCAATCAATCAATCAATCAGCACCGCTGCCTTCCAACAAACAACTGGTTAATAGACCGGACGTATCTGGAACAGAAGGGTTTGGCAGTGCCATGGTGCAAATCCTGCCTGTCTTCCTACCCCCACCGCAAGATTCCCGAGACTATAGAACACATCTTCATGCAATGCCCGGGGGGGGCGCTTACCTGGCGCTGGTGGGACAGAGTCTGGAGACAACTAGGCACTGAATCCCAATGGCCTTGGGACTGGAGGGCACTCCTATGTGAAACCTGGTCCTCCCCCACGCACAATACATTAGAAGATAACATGTTTAAGAAAGGGAGGGGGGCAATCATTTGGGCTCTCTGGAGAAAACGGTGGGTATTCACGCCATCGAAGGAGTCAGAATACAGGGAGAAGAAGTTACCGAAATGATTAAACAGTATGTCCAAGATGAACTGCGGGCACATTGGTTGAAGGTGAAATCACAATTAGATAGTTTCCGCACAAAAAAAGGACATATCCCAAGCTATTAAACAATTCTCAGGGGACTGGTTGGGGTCTGAGCAAAGGGGTTGGATAGCCTATATTCGAATGGGAAGAAGAGGCTTCCCCGGAGCACAGTCGGGATGAACCAAGAGGAGATTACGCCCTTTGTTTCAAGGAATGGACTAGGACACACTGCAATACCGCTGCGCCCCGCCTCGGAATTTCTTCCCGCCTCATGGGCTCTCAATGGTGGATCTGCAATCGTATGGAGCAGAATAAATTCAGAATAAATTTAGGCAAGGGAAGTAGTAGCCTTTACAAGCAGCAGTAAATCCAGCTCTGATTCGAAAGGACAAGGTCGGAAAGTGGGGAAGGAAGGTAATGGACATTTGGGACAGGGGGTGTGGGGGCAAAGGAGGGAGGGAAGAATTAGCTCTTAGCAACTGTAGCAACAGTAGTAACACACCAGAGCAATCAATGCTGGCAGGCGTTTTCTCAGTTTTTTTCAGGATAAAGAATAGGGTTAAGGTTTTAGGAATAAAAGTCTGAAGCGACCCACACCAGTCAGTAAATAAGGCAGCTTAGCGACTCCAGAACTTACATGGGATCAGGCAGCCAAATAGCTGAGAGGAGTAAGCTAGTCGAGCCTCATTCTACAAGACATGTGATTCAATCAGAGTTAGCAGAAAACAGCTTATCCTTCATGCAGGCTAACTTAGGCAGGGGTAAGGGGTGGTACATTCTTCCCAAAAGGAAGCAATCAATGCCGTCCACTTGGGCCTCCCAACCATAATGGGGAGGAGCGTGCGTGGTAAATTTTGTATCATTCTTGACTTGCCGGGGGAATAGGAACTGGACTGTTGCTCCCCAGAATGGTAGGAGCCAGAACCGAGTGTGAGGATTGATCCCTGAAGAAGGGGCCTTGCCATGATGTACATGTTCTGGGCTAAGGCCCCAGCAAGCCTAGTGCCCGCCCTAAGTGAAGGCGGGCCAGCAAATCAACAAGAGCCCTCTGTGCAAACATTTCACGAAGTGGGGTCCATAMAGTTGCAGCACGCCAGTTGGTTGGTGTGCACCGAGTATCGGAGCTCTGCAAATGCAGAAATCCCAGGGCCCCGAGTTGGTTAGGCCCTGGGCACATAAACGTGAGGCCGACAATGCATGCTGGATATAGAGGCCGAAAATGCCAAAGGGAAACCGGTCCACTATCTGAATCTGGCCGCAGGCCTTGACGAAAGAGGTGCAACTGCATCTCCCTGGCCCCCAACTGCATCGGGCCTGGGTACAGGCACTGGGGCCCAGGCACAGGCTCAAAGGAGGCCGCCCACACGCAACACTGGCATATAGGCAAGCAGGGCAAGTGGGTGAGGATCTTGGCCATTGTGGGCAATGCCGGCACGCTGCGCGAATGCGAGCTGCTGCGCTGCGCTAGGCTGAGGTGCGAGACAGGCAGGCACTAGGCGGTAGGGCGCTGCCTGCACACAGGGCGCTGGCGGCCATAGCCGGGCTGCTTGAGGGCGCAAGGGAGGTGAGGGCGAAGGTGGTTCTTCGGAGGTGAAGGGCGCTGTGTGGGATAACAAGGGAGAGTGTGGGTGAAGGAGGAGACGTACCTGGTGGAGGTGGGAGGTCGGCATTGGTGTTGACATCATCACTCGCTGGTCGTCAAGTTGTCTGGTTGCTTTCATACTGTAGTTGTAGTGTTAGGCTGTAGAGTAGGTAGGGCGCCTGGCGCCATTCAAGTGAGAGAGCTACATTGGATTATGCTGTTGGTGTTGCCCTGTTGGGCTTGGACATTGACTCACGATTCTTCTGTATCATTCTCAAATGGATGGTTACTCAGTTCCATTGTGCTATCTGCTCTTGCTTTGACAACTTGGACTTCAGTGTGATTTTGCAATCTGGATTTCTGTGCTTCGTCCATATTCATGTTCCTTGCGATTTGGTATCAGAGCTGGTTTGATTCGCCACTTACCTTGGTGCGCTGGCGTTATACAGACTTGGTGCGTTGACGATGCTTCTTCGCAGTTGGTTCTTGTGACGTCAGGCCATGTTAGGCGCACAGCCTGGGTAGAGAGGTGTGCGCCGGAAGGCTAAGACGGCATTAATTGCCGTRGTGACAGGCGGAATGTATGMTTGGTGATGAGAGCATGCTGATGTGGCRTTCRGCTKAGGTGGCACTGCATTGCGTTGTGGGTGGTACCGAGGCCAAGACCGGTCATCAAATGCACACTCAGCTCAATTGGTGAGAAATCTGTGGTTGGGGGCAGCTATCTCCAGCTACGTTGTTCCCTTACCTTATCTACTCTCTCAATCTCTTCTTACCGTGAGGAAGTGAGTCCAACTTGAGAGTCCTCTCTTTTGGTGAGGTGTCGTGAGCGCGCTACCTTGAGAGACGACAATCTTCCCGCAAGCATCTGGAAGGAGAAAGGGCGGTGCCTCTGAAGGGCCCTGGTCGAAGCACTGGGTCACGGTCACCATGCCAACCCAATGGGAGTAGGTCACGCATGCGATGGCTGCTGTCCATTTTCGCACTTGCTGCGCTGAATAGAAGTCCTGCCAGGTGTGCCAGGATTTTAAGAGACGCTTACCAGACCATCTATAAACATTTCTGGTTGGGGACTCGGATTGATTCTGGCTGTGATCGTCGTCCTGACTGCGATGTTAAATAATTCCTGAGGAGATGGGGGCTCTCCTAAAATTCCTCCTGATCAGCCAGATCAACCGGGTGTAAGGATCGTTCTGTACGAGGGTAAATAAGAGAGGACTGGCTGGCTTGCTCGGCAACGACGTGGGCACAGGGGTGGGCCGAAAACACACACGAAGATACCGCTGCTCAATGATGCTTGCCGGTATGTTGGATTGAGGGGAGGGTAGGTTCTAATTGATGCTCAACTGGATACACAACCATACCCACTGATCACACATCTGCAACAGGGTTTTGTTTTATTATTGATTAGTTGGTTGACAGCTGCTAACACCTCACAGACAGATTAGAGTAGGACTGTTGTATACTACCATAGCCAGTTCTATCTAATGCTGCTGTAAGTGAACTAATTAATATAGAACAAATACCATGTTGACAGTCTTTTGAGAATGTTGTAGGCTGCCACTTGATCGGTCAAGTAGGGGACCTGCCGGACACAACTATTTTTAGAAAATTAGGTGCCGGTCAGACACATGCTGTGGTAGGACTCCATTAGGGGGTTCTAGTGCAGATAGTGTTTGCCTAACTCATGAGTGGATCAGACACCGTTGAGGGTGAAGTTGACGATGCAAGACTGACACGTTCGCGATCACTTAGGGTCCCGCACGTGTTCCAGACCTTACAACAGGGAGACGAAAGACAGCTTCGTGCTGAACGCAGAGCCCGTGCTCTAGCAGCAGCGAGGGCAGAAGCGAACCTAGCAGCTAGGGAACAGGCTGCTGCAGCAGGCAGAGCAGTAGCGATGTCTAGCGCAGCGGCATCCTTTGCTGCCTCGTCCGCAGTATCCTCGTCAGGGACCCATTTGGGTATGCCCACAGGGTCCATGGGTACTTCCAGTTCAGTAGGTTCTCGACAGTCTACAAGTCAAATGGCGGGCTCGCAGTTCAGCCCGTTAACCTCACGCGAAAGGGAGCTTCTAGAGCTCCAACAGGTCGAAAGGATCCGTGAACGATTAGAGAGGGAACTGAAACAGGCAACCGATAGAGAAAGAGGAATTAAAAATAGAACAACCAGGCTTGAAACGTTAGAGGCTGACAAAGCTGAGTTAGAGGGTTTGGATGAGTCAGGATTGACTGAACCAATGAAGGTATTGAAGAACAATATGCTGTCACTGCATGCGCATGTGGACAGCCGATTGGACTTTATGCAGAACACTCTAGACCAGATCTGGACATTTTGCAAAGGCCAGGATTTAGGCCACCAGCACAGTCGCCGTTGCCGTTAACGGCGATGTCACGCCCCTTTCCCGTACAAGCTGGCACACAACCAAGTGGCACGTCTGCAGCAGTCTCACAGACTGTTGCTTCTTCTTCTTCGGGTCCAGCGGCGGTTGCTACACCACCACAACAACCTGTTCCCCAACAGGGACAGCAGCAAGGTCAATGGTACCCTAAGACCCTTGTGATCTCAGGCGAGAAGAAGGATGAGGAACTCACACTTGGTTGAGAACGGTTCCGGTATGGGTAAAGGCGAAGAGGACTTTGCAGGAGGAGGAGGTGATTACTGCTACATCTTACCTCGAGGGTAAGGCAACCAAATGGCTAGATGGTTTAGTTGCAAAAGCCGGGTACGGACGACGCATGGCGGACTGGGCTAGGACAATCACGTTAGACCAGTTCATGGCGATGGTAGAAGCTCGATGGCACAATCCACAGCAGGCGCAAATGGCCACTGATGCGATGCACAGACTAGACCAACGAAAGTTCAAGTCGGTCGGAGAGCTTACGACTACCGTTGAAAGCCTTATCGTCGTCCCTGGCATCAACTATGATAACCAATTCCTGTTGACCACATTCGTAAGATGTCTTCCAGAGAACCTCAGGAACTTGCTGGCCAGCGAGGCTCGCCTCGAGTATCACTCTTTTGAGACATTGTCTAGAAAAGCCTTAGACTTAGAGGCCACTCTAGGGAATGCTCAACCTACTCAGAATGACTCAAAGAAGAAGAAGAGTCCGCAGGAATGGAAGAAGAAAGGGGCTAAATTGATGATGGTTGAGTTCGATGGGACTCAAACAGAGATCGATGAGCTCACAGACCTGCTGAACGCTTCAGAGCACGACAGCGAGGAGATCGCTGAGGGTAGCACCCTCGCCGCAGTAGTCAAGGCTAAGGCTGGTGGCCGAGTGAAGGGCCATCAAAAGAATCAAGGGAAGGCCGCCTCCAATCAGACCAAAGTTGTTGATTGGGTCAAGGCAGGTCTTGATCAAGAAGTGTGGCGGGACCGCAAAGTGCGTGGTGCTTGTATTAACTGTGGTGAGTATGGACACACCCAGTACAAGTGCCAGAACGCGAAGGTCACGCAGAAGATACCTCCTAAGATGGGGGCATCTTCTTCCCAGGCTTCTAGCTCGGGAAACACGTGAGGCCGGTGGAAGTTTTAGCTGCTTCTACTCATGGTGAAGTGGGCCCGATACCCTCCCCACTTCATGAGATGGCCATAGCTAATGACTCTTTAGTCACCCCGCAGACTCATCCARACCAAACTATGCTCTGTACGTTGGATGTGTCTGAAGCCTTAGAAGATCTGCAAAGCGAGTGGTCAAACAAGGACCCTCGCGAATCTTGGGTGGCACTAAGGAAAGGTCCTAGAGGGGAACATTTCGTGGTGGAAGTTGATGTAGGAGGCCGCAAATGTGGTGCCTTCATAGACATTGGCTCCACGCGGAATTACATAAGTGGCGACTGTTTGGAAAGGCTGCACCTACAGGACCGGGTACAACACCTTAGTAGACCTGTAGCATCTACTTTGGCCAATAAGGAGCGCATGATAGTCACAGACTATATCAAGGACGTAGTCTGTACCTTCTCCTACGGAGGAGGGGAACTCAATAATAAAATTCCGTTCCTTGTTAGCGACGACTTACCATTCGACATGTTGTTAGGCATGTACTACCTTGAGGTTGCTAAGCCCCAGTTTGACTGGGACAAGAAGGTGCGAAAACATAAGTTGCCCGATGGCCGAACAGTCACATTGACTAAGTTCAAAGCCAGTAGCATTATAGATACCTATGGCTGCTTGTGTGCATCAACGTTGTCACATTGCCTAAGTTCAAAGCCAGTAGCATTATAGATACCTATGGCTGCTTGTGTGCATCAACGTTCTATAACTATTACAAACAGAACCAAGAGGAGGGTATGTACCTACTGTATGTCTCTGAGAAAGCGGAGGCCGTTAAAACACCCCCAGAGATAGAACACGTCGTTGCTAAGTTCCCTGATCTGTTCGAAGAGCCTACAGGAGTTGTAGAAAGGGAAGTTGTCCACACTATAAAAATCATTCCAGGGAGTAAAACCCCAAAGGGAAGGATCTATAGGATGACTCCCGCCGAGTTAGATGAACTTCGGCGACAACTGAAAGACCTGACAGAGAAGGGATGGATCCGGCCTAGTACTTCCCCTTATAGATCTCCAGTACCATTTGTACCAAAGAAGGGGGGTACATTGAGGATGTGCATTGACTACAGAGGCCTTAATGCCATCACAGTGAAGAACGCAGAGCCTGTACCTCGCATAGACGACCTATTGGATAGGGTGCAGGGATGCAAGTACTATAGCAAGATAGACTTGAAATCCGGCTATCATCAGATCGCTATAAGACCTGAGGAACAACACAAGACAACTTTTCAGACTCGATATGGTCTGTATGAGTTTGTAGTGATGCCCTTTGGTCTTTGCAATGCATCGGGAACATTCCAGCACGCTATGAATCGGATCTTCCATGACCATTTAGATAAGTTTGTCGTGGTTTACCTATGACATTCTGATCTTTAGCAAGTCTGTCGGGGAGCATGCACAACACGTTGAGACTGTACTTTCACTCCTTCGACAGCACAAGTATAAGGTCAACCTAGAGAAGTGTGAGTTTGGTCGCACTAAGATATTATACTTGGGTCATGAAGTATCCGCGGAAGGGATTAGGCCGGAAGATGCGAAGGTGGCTAGCATTCGAGACTGGCCACGACCTCAGACTGTCACTGAGGTCAGATCTTTCTTAGGAATGTGCGGCTACTATAGGAACTTCGTAAAGAACTATTCTACAGTCGCCTCTCCTTGACTTGACACGCTGTGGGACTGGAGTGACGAGTGCGAGGGTGCTTTCAAGCGATTGAAGCATGCACTCATGAATCATGAAGTTCTCATGGTTCCCGATCCTCAGAAGTCGTTCATAATGACCACTGACGCAAGCCAATACGGCATTGGCGCAGTGCTGGCTCAGCAGGATGGGAAGAAGTTGAGACCGATTGAGTACATGAGCAAGAAAATGCCATCGAAGAAATTGGCAAAGTCCACCTATGAAAGGGAACTCTATGCTCTCTACAAGGCACTTGTCCATTGGAGACACTTTCTGTTGGGACGGTTCTTCTACTTGAGAACTGACCATCAGATGCTCAAATGGATCAAGACTCAACCGACTCTTTCTGATGCACTCAAGCGCTGGATTGAGGTCATAGATCAATATGACTTCAAGCTTGAGTATCTGAAGGGAGAGTACAACAAGGTTGCAGATGCGCTATCTCGTAGAGCAGACTACCTAGGGGCGCTAGTTTCCGAGTTCGGTGTATCTCAGGAAGTAACTCGATTGTTGGTGGGAGCCTATCAGGAAGACCCTGTCATGATGGACATCATGCGCAAACTTCAGGCAAAAGACAAGGCCACAGAAAGTGAGTTTGTGATGGTGGATGGGTTACTCTTTCTTGATAAGGCCGGGTGTAAAAGGTTAGTAGTTCCATCGAGTGAGAGTTTGTGTAGTTTATTTTTAGGAGAATGTCACGACGCAACTGGACACTTCGGCTACAAGAAGACGAGTGCTAATCTAGTACAACGATTTTTGTGGCCTGGAATGTTAGATGACGCAAAGAAGTATGTAGAGACCTGTCAAGTCTGTCAGCGGGACAAGCCGCGAACTCAAGCACCGCTTGGGTTGCTGAAGCCCTTACCTATCCCCGCTGGTCCAAGACAGAGTGTTTCCATGGACTTCATGGACACCCTGGTGACCAGTAAGAGTGGCAAGAGGCACATTGCCGTCATCATCGATCGATTCACCAAGTACGCTAGACTAGTTGCCATGCCAAGCCAATGGACAGGCCGAGCAAATGAACAGAGTTGTACAACACCTGCTGAGGCATTACATCAAGCCCAGTCAGGATGATTGGGATAAGAAGTTGCCTCTCATCGCCAGCCTGTACAACAACGCTGTACACAACAGTACCGGCGTTAGTCCTAATCAGCTGCACTGGGGATGGAAGCCTAGATCAGCTCTGGACTTCCTCCTACCTGAAAACCGACCCTCTGCAACTCCAGGCACACTTGAGTATGGTGTGCAGTATGAGANTACAGGGAGAAGAAGTTACCGAAATGATTAAACAGTATGTCCAAGATGAACTGCGGGCACATTGGTTGAAGGTGAAATCACAATTAGATAGTTTCCGCACAAAAAAAGGACATATCCCAAGCTATTAAACAATTCTCAGGGGACTGGTTGGGGTCTGAGCAAAGGGGTTGGATAGCCTATATTCGAATGGGAAGAAGAGGCTTCCCCGGAGCACAGTCGGGATGAACCAAGAGGAGATTACGCCCTTTGTTTCAAGGAATGGACTAGGACACACTGCAATACCGCTGCGCCCCGCCTCGGAATTTCTTCCCGCCTCATGGGCTCTCAATGGTGGATCTGCAATCGTATGGAGCAGAATAAATTCAGAATAAATTTAGGCAAGGGAAGTAGTAGCCTTTACAAGCAGCAGTAAATCCAGCTCTGATTCGAAAGGACAAGGTCGGAAAGTGGGGAAGGAAGGTAATGGACATTTGGGACAGGGGGTGTGGGGGCAAAGGAGGGAGGGAAGAATTAGCTCTTAGCAACTGTAGCAACAGTAGTAACACACCAGAGCAATCAATGCTGGCAGGCGTTTTCTCAGTTTTTTTCAGGATAAAGAATAGGGTTAAGGTTTTAGGAATAAAAGTCTGAAGCGACCCACACCAGTCAGTAAATAAGGCAGCTTAGCGACTCCAGAACTTACATGGGATCAGGCAGCCAAATAGCTGAGAGGAGTAAGCTAGTCGAGCCTCATTCTACAAGACATGTGATTCAATCAGAGTTAGCAGAAAACAGCTTATCCTTCATGCAGGCTAACTTAGGCAGGGGTAAGGGGTGGTACATTCTTCCCAAAAGGAAGCAATCAATGCCGTCCACTTGGGCCTCCCAACCATAATGGGGAGGAGCGTGCGTGGTAAATTTTGTATCATTCTTGACTTGCCGGGGGAATAGGAACTGGACTGTTGCTCCCCAGAATGGTAGGAGCCAGAACCGAGTGTGAGGATTGATCCCTGAAGAAGGGGCCTTGCCATGATGTACATGTTCTGGGCTAAGGCCCCAGCAAGCCTAGTGCCCGCCCTAAGTGAAGGCGGGCCAGCAAATCAACAAGAGCCCTCTGTGCAAACATTTCACGAAGTGGGGTCCATAMAGTTGCAGCACGCCAGTTGGTTGGTGTGCACCGAGTATCGGAGCTCTGCAAATGCAGAAATCCCAGGGCCCCGAGTTGGTTAGGCCCTGGGCACATAAACGTGAGGCCGACAATGCATGCTGGATATAGAGGCCGAAAATGCCAAAGGGAAACCGGTCCACTATCTGAATCTGGCCGCAGGCCTTGACGAAAGAGGTGCAACTGCATCTCCCTGGCCCCCAACTGCATCGGGCCTGGGTACAGGCACTGGGGCCCAGGCACAGGCTCAAAGGAGGCCGCCCACACGCAACACTGGCATATAGGCAAGCAGGGCAAGTGGGTGAGGATCTTGGCCATTGTGGGCAATGCCGGCACGCTGCGCGAATGCGAGCTGCTGCGCTGCGCTAGGCTGAGGTGCGAGACAGGCAGGCACTAGGCGGTAGGGCGCTGCCTGCACACAGGGCGCTGGCGGCCATAGCCGGGCTGCTTGAGGGCGCAAGGGAGGTGAGGGCGAAGGTGGTTCTTCGGAGGTGAAGGGCGCTGTGTGGGATAACAAGGGAGAGTGTGGGTGAAGGAGGAGACGTACCTGGTGGAGGTGGGAGGTCGGCATTGGTGTTGACATCATCACTCGCTGGTCGTCAAGTTGTCTGGTTGCTTTCATACTGTAGTTGTAGTGTTAGGCTGTAGAGTAGGTAGGGCGCCTGGCGCCATTCAAGTGAGAGAGCTACATTGGGTTATGCTGTTGGTGTTGCCCTGTTGGGCTTGGACATTGACTCACGATTCTTTTGTATCATTCTCAAATGGATGGTTACTCGGTTCCATTGTGCTATCTGCTCTTGCTTTGACTACTTGGACTCCAGTGTGATTTTGCAATCTGGATTTCTGTGCTTCGTCTATATTCATGTTCCTTGCACGAGAGGTTCTGTTGTTCTCAAAAAAAGAAAAAAAAAGAAAAAAAAAAAACGATCAATCAATCAATCAATCAGTCAATTAATCAATCAATCAATCAATCAATCAATCTTTTTTTTTTTCTCTTTCTAATACCCCGACCCTTTTCTTTTATCGATGGGGAGGGGAGGTACCCCCCGACACCCGCAACCCCCCCAGCACCTCACTCCCCCGACACCCCCCCCAGACGGCCACGTACGGAGGGGCCAAAGTCCATACGGTCAGGCCGCACGGGCCTCGGGGGGCCGTACGGACGGTCATACGGAAATCCGTATGACCTGTCTCCGTACGTGGGGACTACACTGGCCTTCATCAACAGACAGTCCATGCTCTACTGCAGGGCGAAGAATTAGGCCATGTATGAATAAAGCTGTGTCAAAATCAGGACCGCCCAGCGGCCTGGCTTTTGTCCAGTAGGGCTCCCGGACGGCGCGACCGGCGGGCCCAACGCAATTTCACGCGCGGGGGCGGGGAAAGGCCTTTTTCGGCCAGTGGCAGCCTCCGCAGCCACCTAGTGCTTGATTTTTTTTTATAATGACTTTCTAAGTTTCTAGGCTGGATGGCTACGATCTCGCATTTGAATTCGAACGGGGGATTGTCCTCCACCAGCATGAAGCATCTCAGTGGACTTTCTCAGCTAAGGGGGATGGAATGCGAGGAAGAAGCCCTCACGAGGCCCTATTAGACATCACATGTTCTGGGCAAAGCCCCCAGCAAGCCAAGTGCCCGCCCTAAGTGAATGCGGGCCTGAATATTCGTCAAAGGCCAAAATTCAACATTTTCATATGTGGGTATTCAGGCTCTTGCAGCACGCCAGTTGGTTGAATGGACGCGCGAAACTCACTAAGTTGCGTCGTAAAGTTGGCCCAGGCCTTGACAGTTGCGCATGGGCACATACACACAAAGCAGGGCCGATACATTGAGAAGCAGGCCCTCGGCCTAGGCAAAAGCAGTACTGTTGACGCACCTACCTGAGAACCCTGCACAGATGCAACAAACAGCCCAAGTCCGGAGACTCAGGCCGTGCCCAACTGTAAGTGGGGCCCAGGCCCTCAACTGTAGTCTCTGGCCTGGGCGCAAGGACTGAGGCCCAACCGGAAGCTACTGGAAGCTTCCAGCCAGGCCACACGCAGCATCCAGAAGGCTGCCACTTCCATATAGGAAGTGAGGCCGTCCCGGCGAGGCATTCCGGCCTGTGTAGGCAATGCGGAAGTGCTGCTGCGCTACTGCTTGATGCTGCGCTGCGGCCAAGGGCGCTGACGGGGCGCGTTGAGGTGAAGTGGGGCGCTGCAGGGCAGCGGGGCGCAGGCAGCCATAGTCGGGCTGCCGGATGCCAGGGGGGTGATGCAGGTGATCTGGTGGTCTTCAGGGAGGGAGGCGAAGTGTGGGTTATCAAGGTCTAATTGAGGGTGACGAGATACGTACCTGGTGCATGAAGAGAGGTCGGCTATGGTGTTGACAGTCATGTACATTGGTCTTCGAGAGTCGAAGTGAGCCTGTTGCATGAACATAGCTGTAGGTAGGATAGTCGGGTAGAGTAGGCTGGGTGTTGGGCGCCAGACAGAGAGAAGCGACTTTGGATACTGTGTTGGTGTGGCCTTCGGGCTTGAACATTGGCTCATTACTTCATTGTAGTGCTCTATATGGATGGATGGTTTCCTGGTGCATTGGTACTCTCTGCTTGGACACAACTACTTGGACATCTGTGTGATTTCACAACTTGGTTTTCTGTATATCGTTCACACTCATATTCCTTGCAAATGGCATTGTCTTCCTTCCAATTATTGCACTGCACGATCGCCAGAATCATAACACCTCACAAGTCTTTAGCTTACAGGTCTTTTCAGAGCTTGATGAGCGTTGCTTGATCTTTTCTTTACGTGTTTCTTGTCTGTTGTTTGATCTGTCAATAGCATGGGGCGGTTGGCGCCTAATACATACATTTGAAAACACGTTGGCACAGGAGTTGCAATAATGAGAGAGGGAGGCACTAACTTGCAATGACTTGCTGGTTTCTGGTCGTCTGTAGCCTCTCTCTTGTCGACGCTGTACGATCTGTAGGTTAGATTTGTAATTTTGTTTGGCTGAGGGCTAACCGAGAGACCTGCCTGTAAGCAAATTCCTTAGGGACATATCTGCAAATTTCGGAAAATATAGGCCCGTACTAACTAGAATTCCTACAGCTACCCTAACTGCGAATAGCAGGCCCAGGCTACCCCTAGGACAGACAGGCCCTAAGGGCCTAAGCTGATATATGGTCCTATAGCCTATAGCCGGGTTGGGAGAGGCCCTAGAGGCCGAAACAGAAACGGTACCGGTCGGTCAGTCAGTCCGGTCTAGGTCGAGTCTAGGCTAGAGTAGACTATAGATAGGTTGGGCACATCGGTTCAGGGCTTTTGGCAGTTGGCACCAAGTACATCGCTGTTGTGCAACACGTGAGCTGGAAGTGGTGATGGCTCAGCGTTGAGGGAGACGGACATAGCCAGACCTTCGGAGCACCGGCCATAGCTGGGACCTGCGCTGTACTCTGTCAGCACGCGGGGCTGTACAGAGGTCAGGGCTATCCGAGGTCTGCTGGAGGCGAGAGAAGTTGGTGCCCTGCTGGACCCTCCTCTGGAGTAGGGTTATAGGGTTGTGGCGCTGCAGCCATAGCTGCAGCTTCTTCCTCAGAGATCATCTTGTCCGGAGTGGTGGCGCTGCTGCAGACTTCCAGCCAGGAAGTCTTCCGACACTTCGTCATCATCAGATATTGCGGCGCTGGTCTTCTTCTTCATCCTCTGAGTGGCGCTTGGCCTCAGAGGCCTGTTTGAGGGTGGCGCTTCCCTCTGGAGGCTGTATCTGGGTGGCGCTTGATGTTTCAGGGACTCAGGGGTAGTAATAGCGGTTCATCAGGGTTGGGGAGTGAAGCGCTGCTCATTTCTGAGCAGCGCATCATAGTTCTGAGGTTATCCTGACAATTCGAAACTCTGAGTTTAATAAACAGTGTTGATACCATACTTGCGGCGCACCAGCACTGTGCGCGGACCCAGGGTGCGCGCGCACCGGCGAGCGCCGCACATCTGGGTGCGCAGTGCGCGCTGCGCGGTGCGCTGCACACGTCTGGTGTGCTGCGCGCATGTGCGCAATGTATATTTCCATGTTCTAGCGGTAGATTCATTTGATATTGTTCTCTCTCTCCTCTCTCTCTCTCTCTCTCTCTCTCTCTCTCTCTCTCTCTCTCTCCCCTCCCGACTTCTTTCGCCGCTTCCCACCATCCCACCTTCGGCCTTTCTCCCGCCTTCCACCATCCACCATCGCTACTTCTCTCCCTCTTCCCACCATCTCTCTCTCTCTCTCTCTCTCGCTCTCTCTCTCTCTCTCTCTCTCTCTCTCTC